CCCTGGACAAGATCCTCAGGAATGGCAAATGCTCTCTCCAAACAGCTTTTTCAACTGCTCCCATGCTTGTCTTTCAAAATCTGAAAAGTCAAGGAGCCGAGAGTGCTCCTTAGAGCAGCACAACTAAACCAGGGGTTGACTGTGGGAAGGTACAGGCACCCCAGCCGCTCTGTGCGCTGTCGGAGCGCTATCATCCCACCAAAGAGTCATACGTGGAAACTTCTGCTCACCTCAATGGCAGGGGAAGCTCCCACGCAGAAGTTGTCAAGGAATAAGAGGTTTCGCTAATTATGACAAGCTGGATTAAAACAACATCTTCCAAATATGTATGTCAGCGTCAAACAGCTATCTGGGAACTATGGAAAGTACTCCAAAATGTCCAGTGACCCATTGGCACAATATTTCCCATTTTTCTCAAGGGAAAAAGAAAAGTGCTATGTGAGTCACTGAACTGATAGAATTCTATACCACCAGTAGCAATCATTTTAAACCAGTTTAATCACAACATTTCCCTCTTTGGACCACATGGATTGTGCTTTAGCAGGGTAAACATTTTTCCCAACCTGGATGAGGCTAAGGCTAGTTTCTGACCTCCCACAAAGTTCAATGGGTGTATTATCATCTAATCAATGGAGGACAGTTTTTGTGCAAGACTACCTACAGTTCACAGCAGCTTTTCTATACATGTACATCTCCAGACAGAGAGAGAACAGAAACCCTTGTATTTGTGAACTCTTGCATATGATCCCATGCATTTATGAGCAACTGAACTCTTTGTTTCTGTGTGTGGTTTGTTTTGGTTTTTGCTTTTTTTTCCCCTAACAGAGAAAACAGACGGAGTCTATGCATCCATTTTTGCAAATGAACAAGCTGGAATCACATCATCACAGGACTACAGAGTACTTTATGACTACACAGCCCAGGTAACAAAAGGTTTCAAAATAAATATTTCATAGTGTCAGATTTAAAATAGATTATGTTGATCCAAACATTTTGAAAGTGGGAGGTGTTATCTTCACTTTACAGCCAGGGACACTTAGAGAATCATTGGTCAAGGTCACACATAGAAGCCAGGAATCCCAACTGCCAGTTCTTGATGCACATCACTAGACTGCACTGCCTCAAGATGAAACAATTACATTTGTTGCAAGTGATTACGCATTAGCATGCTATACCCCTCCTAAATTAGCGCTAAGCTGTTACAACCTCCTTCTAGAGATACAGGAGACTGCAAACACAAGGAAAACTTTATTTTTTGGGGGGATGATGGCTAAGTATGCAGTATTGTGCATTGTGAAGTCACATCTCTTGTGAAATGTTCTACTAGGAAAAATGGCTACAGATTCCTTGTGTAAGAATACATGAAACAAACTCTTCCCCCTTTGATCTCATTTATCATCCTGAGAGTCCTGCTCCAGTTTAATACACTGGCTTCAACTGAGGTGCTCTCCATGCTGGAGAGGACTGAATCCCCATAAATGACGCTGTTTCCCTGTACTTCCGTGTTGCAAGTTGCAGGATTACAGTGGATGTGGTCCATGTACTAAAAGATTGTTATAAAGAGCAACCTGCATCCTTAACTGCTGATATGGAACTCTCACTCGTTTCAGACCTATGTAGGCATAGCACCATTAGTAAAGGGTTATGAATGTTTTCTTATTCAGATGGACCCCAGACCCTTTTAGACTCTTGCTAAACCATTAGCCTCCCCTCATGGGACTTTCATAATTTAATTACATGTCAGGTTAAAGGTTCCTTTTATTAGCTTTAGATTAGCAGAAGCAGCAGTGTCCAGGAGATCTTATATTACAGTGCAGAGCAACTCTCACACCAAAGGACCTCCCAACAATAGCCAACACTGAAGAAATGATGGCATGTGACAAAATCAGATAGCCAGATAAATTATGAGAACACAGAAAGGATTGGAAAGGAGAACTTTCTCTTAGGTACAACAACATTCTGACACCTCTTATTATATGTTCTTTATATTGCATTGTTTTAAAGCCTCTTTTATTACTTGCCTGAAATTTCACCCAAGCACAGCTGAAAGTACCTCACTATCAATGGCAGTTCCACTGAGGAGACTGCTGGATCCCTTTGTCAGATCCTTGCTCTGGGAGTTGCCTTAAAAATATGACACACACAGATTTTCCCTGCTGAGAAAAGAGCCTGTTACTATTTTCTATATATTGTATATCGAGGCCTCTCACTTTTTGAGTCCATTCTTAACCTCTCAGGTACATGAAATTTAGATTTAGCTGATGCATCAAACTTATCTGGAAGCCTCTACTACCCTGTTTTCTATTTTACTACATTGTGGGTAGCACAGTGATTTCCTATGTAAAACAGGACAGCACCACTGAATGAACTGATAGCCTCCAGAGTGCTCAGCCATAGCTTACTTGCAACTACTCCATTTGTCTTGAAGATAAAAGTTACCTATCTCAGGAAGAGTCGCTGTACCCCCACCGGCCACCGCTTTTCCGTATTAAAAGAACATAGAGACCTATTTAAGGCCTGGATTAGTAGAGACACTGTTTTTACCTCCCTTGGGAGCTAAGCTGTGCACTGTTTTATTTAGCAACGCCTGCAGACTACGACTATGGTTAGCTGGTTTAGAACAGTTGTATTTAACCCTTTCTGGCCTTCCCCAATGATATAACAGTCAGGTTGCTCAGGAGGAGACACCATGGAGACTGGGGCAACTTGAGGATTTTACGGAAATAGCCAGCTCAGTAAGTGCTTAATCCCTCATTGTCTGTTATCTGAGGCTCATTCCCAACCCAAAGGACACTGGCAGACTGTTGATGAAAAGCAGGGTAAAAATAAAACCAACCCACCAGATACTTGCTTGGGCCCTCCTGTGCTCTCAGGCTAACCACATTTCCTTTCTCTGTCTCCTTTCAGAACATGGATGAACTGGACATCAGTGAAGGTGACATTGTAGTTGTCATTGAAGAAAACGAGGATGGCTGGTGGACAGCAGAAAGGAATGGGCAGCGAGGCTTTGTGCCAGGGTCTTATCTCAAAAAGCTTTGATGAAAACAAGCCCCAGTCCTCAGCCTTTAAAAATATTACTGAAAACAAGCAGCACACAAGGTCTGCTTCAGCTGACCAAGGGCAACCCATAATACTGTCTTCTACAATTACCAGTCAGGAAATAACCAACCGACCATGCTTTCCTCTTCCTTCCTCCTGCCCCATCCCAGAACCTCCTACTACACTGTCTGCAAAAACCATCTTCACCTCAGAGAGATTAGGACTTGTGTTTCTTGCCAGAGTTCTTCCTACCCTCAGCACACTGTGCTGCCATCAGTGCTGCAAAGCTTGGCAAATCTGGGAGGAAAATCCTGTCCAGAACTTAACTGCACTAAAGAAAAAAGATCAAGGAAGCAAGTGCTGTTCTGCAGGATGGAGGACCACCTCCAGCCGGTCTGTGAGACACCCTCATGGTCACAGCAGCCATGTTCTCTTCCATGGATCCCTTCCTCTCAGTGCACAGGCCATGCAAGTATTTTTGACAGCAAAAAGCACACTCAGAAAGCAGATAGCTTTGATGTCACAGGGTCTTAGCTGTACAAAGCAAGGAAGAAGCTCTCTTTTTTTTAACAGCCCCCTTTCAAGTTCCCCTTTCAGCATGTGGCTAACCAGAGAGAAAGGTGGTGAACCCTCCACTGTTCTTTATCAGAGTCACTGATGAAAATACGAAAAACAATGAATGCAGCTAGAGAGGAGCACCTGAAGGACCAAGACACATCAGTAGTAAGAAAACATAAGGCACTCCCCGTTATGGCCATCTCCTAGTACAATGAAATCCATGCTATCCATGGCTCTGCTTTGCACTGGATTCTGGAGCAGCATAATAGGACAGATGATGAGCCCAAGGCTTGCTTTTGCCTTGGTTGGATGGTTTCCCTGACACCTCCCTGGGATTTTTCATGTTTAAAAAACCAACAAAAAACCCAACAAATAAGCAAAGCCTCCAGCAGGGCTGCACTGCCCTGATCCCTCTCCTCTGAGCACAAGAGATAAGAGCCAATTACCTCCTCACACAATCTGCATACCCATGTCATCAGTGCATTCTCCTTTCAACTCCTCTGTCCACCTGGCTGATCCTCTCCTCCTCTTCTGCCCACAGGCTTTTCTGCCACTGGCTGCTATCTACAGCCTCTACACCTCTGGGATTGCTGGCATAGATGTGCCCTGGTTCCTTTCCAGGCACTTTTAATGTGCTTGTTCTTCAACGAACCCTCTTCAGACAAGTCACACTGTGCAGGTTCACTGTATTCTACAGACTTCAGCTCTATCAGTCTTTCTGTTCAGTATTTAAGAATGTTTCCAACTGCCACTGTACTTACCAAGGGATCGATAGATACTTTCTGCTACTCCTCCCTTTTAAGTATTTCAAGATGGTTAAAAAAAAAAAAAAAAAAATTTCAGTGATTTAATCTGAAGCAGAGTGCGCTATTTCTGGGGGCAGAATGACATTGTTTGCCAAGGGTTTGGGTCTTAAAACTGAACTGAGCCAATGAAAATGAATCAAATTGCTACCCAAAAGGCACAGAGCAGGGAAGAACTGTTAACTAAGACACAGCAGGAAAGACAAAGAGAAATCCAGGCAGAAGAAAAAGCCACTATGGTCAATGCAATTATTCCCTAAATGAAACAGAAAGAAGGTCAGAGGCATTTGCAGTACCTTATTCTAATTTCTTGCTTTAAGAATGGAATAAAAGTTGCTGCAGGCCCTTTTTCTTTAGTTCCCTGCACAGGCACAATTGTCCTTCCCACACTTCCCTGAGTTATTATGCAGCACATCTGCATCAGTGCTGAAGGGCTCTTAGTACCTCACATTAGCACAGGCTCAGAGGAACCTGAATGGCATTTAAGGCACTAGGTTACAAGAAGAGTAGTGCTGGTTCAGGCTGAGGATGTTAATGACAGGTTTCCCTGACCATGTCTGAATTCAACAGTGATAGAAAGATTGTCCACAACAGCCTTCCACCAGACCACCGCACTGTCAATGGTAGCTGTCAGAGACAACTACAACATCGCTCGTTATGTACAGCATGAGAGGAAACCTAAAGTTTGAGATATTTAATATATTTGCTTCTTGAACACTCAAATCTTCTACAAAGAGAACTGTAATAAACCAACAAATACTTAAATAAATTTAGGTAGGTATTTTGCAGATTATCTTAATTAAAGAGAAAAAAATAAACGACTGAGATGCATCTCCTCTAATTCTGGGTGATACACGGATTTTGCTAAGAGTCTTCACTTCTCTGGGGGCCCAGCCAGCCTCACACAAGACACTGCAGTCCCCAGTTCTGGTTACCCTGAAATTGTGTTACAGACTGTCTTTGCTTCCATGTACCACACCGTCTACATTGCTGCCAGATAGGTCGTGGAATAGTCACTGCATCAAATAATTTCATATTTTTGCAGCTGAACTCGGGAAACTGGTTTCCTTTTTACCTCTCTCTTCTTCTGTCAAGTAAATATTGCTGTAAGTGCAAAATCTACCCAGTATCTTAGCACTCGGGTCCCACAGGCTAATTCCAGACTGTTTAGGAAATGAAAAAGCAGCAGCAATGTTTTCTCATGATTCCTCTGCTTTACATTGAAGAATGTGGCTGATAAGTAGTTACCAAGCCATATCTAGGCAGTTTGCCCTATCGGTGTGGCAGCACTTGTCAGAAATAGAACAGAGATATCAAGAAATACCCACGCCCACTGAATATACCCACATTTTAGCTGTCACCCACCCTCCTGTCAGGAGGAAAAGCAGGAAGGTCAAATGTAGGTTACTGCCTTAATACTATTGCTTTTATAAGTTTCCTTTCCAGTTTGGTAACACTTGAGCAACAAAACTGATGCATTGAAGTAATCATTTAATTTTCAGGTAAGATGGGAAACTGAAATAGGCCCTTTCCAGTGGGAGGCATTCTTAAACTAAACTGCAACATTTTTGGTTTAATTTCTTTGTGGACATACACTTCTGATAAGCCTCCGTTTTCATTTTGACTACCATTTTTTGGCAAGAAGGTGCCAAGCAACATGCAGGGACAAAGCAACAGCGGAAAACAAAGTCGAGTGTTTGTCACGTTAACTCCTATTTCATATACACTCCCAATAAGCAGGCCACCTCTTTTCTGACACTGCTAGCGCTCTGGGTGGGTTCACACACAAGAAGCTGGCCCCAGAGAGCAAGGAACATGCTTTTGCCAGTTGCTCTGCAAGGGGGGGAACATAATTACCTACCTACAGCCTGTGGCTAATATGTATAAACAGACAAACTAATTACAGAGACGCAACCACAATCTCACTCCCCC